CTTCCCCCTCTCTCCTGGGATGTAATTGAAAGAGTATTGGACTTAGAGTCCAAAACACAACCATCTCTCTGAGCCCAAGATGCCTTGAAGTGAGGATGCCAGGCCTCCCTTAGAGTTGTTCTGATGCTCTTAGGAGAAAATGTCCTTGGGAGGGTGTCACCATCACTAAGCAAGACACCTATTGCCTCATTCCCAGGATTGCTTTGTGTGCTGCTGGGCCTGGCCATGGTGGTGGCCCACAGGATGCAGCCACACAGACTGAAGGCATTCTTCAATCTGAGTATCGGGGAGGACCCTGGGCTGGAGTGGAATCCTGAAGAAGGAGGACTCCTGAGTCCCCGATACCAGTCCACAGCTGAGAGTTCTGAGCCCCAAGACATTCCTCTGTCAGAGGCTTCCTCCCAGGCATGCTATAAGGAGGAGCACCCCAGAGTACCTGACCCTGCCCTATAAGGTTCCCCTTCCTGGTGGCTACCCAGACTTCCAATCTGGTTCCAAACCTCCTTTGAGCCCCATAAAGCCACAAGAACTGCCCACAGGATGGGATGTGTCAGCCCTCCAGACCCTGTCTTTATGTGGAGTAGAAAAAGGAGACTCTATCAATGTTAACAAAACAAAACACCTAAGGTGTTGAACAGAAGTTGGGACTGCCCATAAACCCTGTCGCAATGGTAAGACCAAATGTTTCCACACAGCACCTCTGCCTTTCTTTAATGCTTTGCCTGTTTGAGTTTCCATTTATTGAAACCTAGCCTCACCCACACAATGATGTGGGGCGGGGCCCAGTTGCAGTGTGGTTCTGTGGTCCCTCTCATCCCTCTACACCTCTTGTTTTCAGTTTTCCTGGGTCCCCTTTGTTCTTCATTTACTTCCCCAGTTTGTGTGACCTCTTGGTACAATGAAAGAGAGCACTCAGAGGGAGAAGAAACCAAACGTATCACCCCAGGTCTAATATTAATCAACTGTACCACATTCTCTTTGAGCTTCAGTTCTCTAATTTGCCAAATAAAATTATAAGATTTGCCAAGGACCTAACAAAACAAAAATCCCAGGATTTAACTTTTTATGCCTTGCTGACATCTACCTTGAGCCTCAGGCACCATTCTGTAGTGAATAAACTGGAGTTTGTTGCCCAGTTGGGTGACTCAGGGGTTGAGCATCAACCTATGATCCAGAAGATCACAGTTTGATTCCGGTCAGGACACATGTGGGACACACACACACACACACACACACACACACCCCACAGACACCTGCAGGAGGCAGCCAATCAACGACTCTTATCCATGTTTCTCTCTCCTTCTCCCTTCCTTTCTCAGAAATCAATAAAAACATATTTTTAAAAAACAAAACCAAACGAGTTTGTGAATAAACTCCAAAACGCAGGGGAGGGAGATCCCACTGGGTAGGCCAGTGGGAGGGTGAGCTGCCTGGTCTTCACCTGGGACAGCTCAGGAAGAGGCTATGCTGGCTCCGGTTGGTTCCCCTTTGAGCTCACTAGAGGGAGTCTGTCTTCCAGATCTTTTCCCGGATTACTTTGGATTCTCCAGACTGAGAGAATCCAGGTTCCTGGCTAAGCAAAGAGAATGTTCTATGGCCACTGCCAGCCCAGTGAAGTCTCCCGAAGGCGCGTGTACCCCAAAAGCCTGGAGAAGCCATGGAAATTAATGGAGAAAACGTTTTTAAAAAACAAAAGGGGAGAAATTTATTCACAGCTCACCGGGGGAGAGTCTAGGGTGCACGGAGCACGCCTGAGGCAGCCCGCCTTTCTTTGGGCGCCCGCTGGCAGCGCAGCTCGCCTTACTGAGCTCTCCCGGCCCAGCTCTGGCGGGCACTGCTCCCGGCCCGAGGGGGACCGAGGCGGAGTAGGAGTCCGAGGTCGAGTCCCTTTCACAGTTTAGTGCTGATCGTTGATTCCGAGACCCCGAACTGCTTGTATAGTGGGTGGTTGAGGTTGAGAGGCGAGTCCCCTCTCGCTTGGTTACCGCAGTTCTTGTCGCTTCGGTCCAAGAAGGTGCGAAGGGCCCTGGGCCGAGCGTAGTGGAGACCCACCACCGCCCCTCCCAGAAGGAGGCACAGGACGCCTGGGCGGCGCAGACGGAAGAGAAGGGGCGGTCAGGCTCCGGGACAGAACCCCGCCTGCCCCTTCATCTATTGGAGGCCACCCCTCACTCCCCCCCGCCCCCACATACACAGAGAAGGACCTCTGATGTGGATTACACAACACGAGGAAGGGTTCGAGCGCCTGCCCCTATGAGCTATCGAGAGGGGCAGAACAGCAGCACAGGTGAACTCCCTTTGTAAACTGGGAGGAGCGCGCTCCAATGAATCCGGCCCCTAACCCCAGCCGCCCCGGCCCAGCGCCCGGTCCTCACCTGTGGCCAGCGTGACCCAAAAGGCGGCGCCGTAGTGACTGGTGAGCGCGGAGGAGCCGAGGTGGAGCGGGCAGAGCGGCGCGCTGGAGATGGAGACGAAGGCCAGCACAGAGAAGAGCGCGAAGGCGCCGGTGGCCAGGAGCGCCAGGCCCCCGTAGAGCGGGACCGGCATGGAGAGCAGCACGTTGGAGAGGAGCCAGAGGCAGAACGCCACCCTGCGGGGACAGCGCCGCGCCCTGAGCCGGCTCCTCCCGGTCCGCCCCGGCTCCCGCAGCCTCGCGTCCTCCGCGTCCCTACCCCAGAACGCAAGCCCGGGGTCGGGTGGCTGAAGTGCGGCGGGATGTAGCTGGATCCCAGGTGTCCCCGGGATTCCGACGGTCTGTGCGGACCTCATGACCTCTGACCCGAGGGGCGGCCATACTCGCCCGAGTGTATCGGGCTGTAACCGCAGCTTACGTTCACACACACACACCCGCACGCGCGCGCACACACACACACACACACACACGCGCGCGCGCGCGCGCTCGCGCGCACGCGGTGCCTTCCCGCAGCGCTCACCACAGCATGGCTGAAGCGTAGTGCCCCGCCATGCGGTACTGGCGGTAGAGTCCGCAAGGGCTGCTCGGCGTGAACTTCTCCGCCAAGTAGAGGACTGGATCCGGCAGCCCCCTCTCCAGCGCCTCCCTGTACTCCTCCGCGTAGTCCTCGCCCAGACGCCACGTGAACTGCTCGTTGTAGTCGATAGTCTCGTTCAGCTGCTGCACTGGGGTCCCTGCGGAGGGCGGCGGGGTCATGGGGCTGCGCACAGCCGGGGATCCCGCAACGAAGTGGATTCCGATAGTGAAACGGAGGCGCGAGAGAAATGGCTTTACTCGGCAGTGGTTGGGGAAAATACAAATTCAGGAGGACCAAAGGCTCTACGGCTCTGCGAGATCTGAGAGGGCCTGCGGTTGCCCCTGCCACACTCCCCCCACCATGGAGCCTGCTCGTCCCAGAAGCTCCCTTCGCCCAGTCCCCTCACCTGTGAGTGTAATATTAACTCCCTCCAGGCCCACGTGCAGACCTACGTAGGCTCCGACACGGGCTGCGCTGAAGGCCTTGTAGGAGGTGTTGGTGTTCACGCTACCCACTGACCATTCTGCGCTGAAGTTCACCGCTGTGAGGAGGGGCACACGGTGGGGGGTGGTTAGGGAAAAAATGGGGGAGATGGAATTGGGAGAGTGGTGACGGAGGGTGGGACACTGTAGAGAGATGGGGATGGAGGTCTAGGGGTCCTATATGGTATACATGGTAAGGGCAGAAGAGTGGGCACCAGAAAGAGATGGAGAATGGAGAGTGAGAGGGAAACCAACCCCAGTTCTCCATTTTCCCCGGTGCCCTCTGCCAGCACCCTTCCTCACCCCAGGTCCTCTCCCCATCTGATGAACCACACACTCACCCACGATTTCTGTGCCTATGAACAGACTGAGGAGAACTCTCACCAACCAGAACCAGCGCTGCAGGAACAGGCAACAGGTCAGGCCTGGGTACCGTTCAACCAGAGTCCCCAAGACCTCCCTCGACCCCATGCCACCTGGATATTTAGTGCTCCTTCTGAGTCATTGGCATTTCTGATGTTTTCTGACCATGTACTTGTGCCCCACCAACCCCATTTCCCAGTCCAGCTTGCAATGAGGCTGTCTCTCTCTGCCTGGTGCTCTCACAACCTTCACTGCCCCCAGGTATCTGGCTCCCGGTTCTGGCTCTGCCTCCTGCTCAGGTCACTGCTATGGTAAGCTCAGTGAGTCCAGAAGTGCTAGGCAGGCAGGAGTCACCTCCCCCAAGAGAAGGAGGCCCTGAGTTTGGTGGCCAAGTAGTGGAGGTGGGAACACAGCCCCTCAGATATTCCTAGGTGCATCGGTTTCCCAGGAAACCAACACAGGTCAAGACTCAGGGAGGCTAGGTCCTCTTAGACTTTAAAAACTTGAATCCTGTGCCAAAGTGGCTGAATCTTTAAGATGGGGGCATCCATATACCTGTGTCTCCACTCATCGCACAAGTGACCCGCAGCCGTCTGAGCTGCTTGTTTCTGTCCTCTTGGCCCAGAGTGGGGATGGGAATGGAGCTGAAGTATGGGGAGAGGAGGGAGGCACCACAGCGCCTGAAGACTAGAATGCTTGTGGGCCCCAGCACTACTGGACCAGGTGGGTACCTACTCTTTACAGCAGCCTCCTGAATGATCCAGCTGGGTCAGTCTCTAGGGTGCCTTGAACCCGACCTCTCCCCGTCCTGGGGAAGGGGTGCTTGCTGCACTAGACCTCTGGGTCTACTCCACCTACGCGGGTTGGACTATTCAGTGGAGGTCCCTGCTGCAGTCTTAACCTGTCCTGGGTCCTCCAGGGACAAGCTGTCCATGAGGTCTTCCATCCCCAGGCCGCAGCTTCTAGCACCCCCTTACCGAGTGGCCACGGATCCCAGGCAAGATGAGCAAGAAGCTGGCAGCCAGCGACAAGAACACCACAATGACGATGAGCAGCGGGACGCTGAAGCCCGCGGCTCGCCGGGACTGGGGGTAGAAAGGCAGCTCGCCGTCCCAGAGAGTCATGCTGAAAGGCGGCCGAGCCGGGAGCTGCGCCTGCGGGAGCCGGGAGAGCGCGTCCGTGGCGTGGGAGCCTGGGTCCCACGTCTCCTTTCCCCGCCCCTAGCGTGCTAGGCTTGACCCAAAGCGTCGGTCAAGTCCGAGCCCCCAGGCTCCCCTCTAAGGAAGCGCCACGGCTGGCTGCCCTCAAGCGCCCTGGGTTGGCCGGGGAGGAGTCGGGGAGGCGGGAGAACGCAACTATTCCTTACGGTTACCTTCCTCAGCGGGTTCGCTCTGCGTTTGAAAGTCACTCCCACCCCGGGCCCCTTTTATAACTGCGTGGGCAGCGTGCCAAGCTGTGGTCACGGCTTGGCTACGGGGTCTTTCCCGGAAGAGATTATGCAAATGAGAGGCGGCGGTCGCTATGCAAATGAGAGGAGACTTGCTTCCTCCGTAGGGAGCGAGCCAAGTTCATATGGTCACGACTGTCACTGGTCCAGCCAGAGTGGACACCTGCGCAACGGGCATCAGAGGACGCAGAGTAGTAGGGTGAGAGTGCTACAGGGAGGCGAAGCTGGGGAGTG